TATGCATAGAAGATTATTTTAGGAGAATGAATGAATGCTTTACCAGGAGAATTGGTATGAACTGCATTACCAAGCATCTCATGCCACAAAGAAACAATACAATTTGTCTTCTATCACAACAGAAGAGACATCTAACTCGTGAGAAAGATCATGGAAGTTGGCCAAATAGGAATTGGACTTTTGTAAAAGACGCCAGACAGGTGTTGGGCTTTATACTTAAACCCCTTTACAATCTTCGACATCAAAACCGAGTGCCCCAGAATAGAGGATGCATCTAGCATGTGCATCACAATCAGAAGAGATGTTTGTAGGGACAGGACCCAAAAGATCATAGTTTTACCAATTGAACTTCTGCTAGGCGAGGAAATAACTGGATATAACGCACTGGGATCACATCAACATGCTGATCAGGCTTCTTCTGTATTTTCTTAAAAGCCTAGCCCAATGAATTCACTTGGGGAACAAAGACGGGTTGTTGTCAAACAAATCAGGGAACGCAGAGCTATAGAGAGTGCCACTAATTGAATAGTCAGATGCCCCGTCGTAGTAACCACATCTGACGTTGGTATCATGATCTAGAAGGGAATTTCTACACGGTGCCGAAGTACGGGGTCTAACCCACTGAAGCTCAAACAAGTGTAGAAACCAATGAGAATGAAGCACCGATATAAGATTAACTCCTCTTTAGGCGTATTCTAATCTCGTTGGTAAAACAAGTTTCTTGAATTACATAGTTAATGGGAACCATCTGTTGATAAGATGTTCCAAGAACTCAAGATTGTATAACACTCCCTTGTTGAAAGCGTTCCCGAAAAGATGAGGAGAAGAGAGAACCTCTGTTGCGGTAGTAGGTTCAAGATTGTTGATATCATCATTAGATCTTCCATGACCTGGCTCATTTGATTCTTGAATCGATTATCTTCCTTCTCGAAAAATCCCGACCATAGGCCAAAGCTTGCATGTATACCATGATCAACCCTATCGGGATCTTCGCATTGGTCAATCCCCCACGAAGTTATCCCATATAGATCTCTGAACATGCGAAGCAAGAAATCAAGTTTGAACCTCTGAAGAGAGCACCAGGTCTGAATAAGAATCCCCAACCTTCGAATACTTGTTATGGATGCATGAATATGCATGGGATGCATGAATGGATGCCATGTCAAGTTTCATCATTTCCAAGGAATTTACTTGCTTTGATTTTGATTTTACGCAAGTAAGGGATGTAAAAGTTCAACACAAGGCTTACAAATATGATTCCTTGGAAATAACAGAACATGTATGTTAAGCATGTGGTTAACCATGTTATGTATGCAAAGACATGGGATCAAAGTTCCATCATTCCTGAATATGATTGCTGAACCGTTTATGAACCATGTGGTTATCGGTAGTTCAAAGGTCCGACATAGCTTCTACACATATAAGAACTAAGTACCATGTAGATTATCAATTGTACATGATTGAGGCTTCTGGAATATTGAACAATGTTGAGCCTTTTCTGAACATGTTGAGAATACCAAGATCGAAGGCCCAAATGAACCTCCAAGTAAACAAGTCAGGAACTCAGAAAAAAATCTGAGAACCATATGGTCACCAACAACACATACGGCCATCATCTGAACATGAGTAACCATCTGAACCTAGTCACCATCTGAACATAGTCACCAACTGTACCTGTGATAATAATTCCCTCCCCACTCACGGGTGTACACTAGGTCAAGGTAAGGCAAGGGTAACTCGAAAATCACGGGTCTGCTTGAAAGTAAAATCATCTCAACACAGACGTGCATGATGAAAATACCTCCAATTGAACCTCATCCAAGCATGGTATGTGACATGACTGCACTAGTCGGACCACGTCCTAAATCCTTCATTCCCCCACTCTATTCCTAGGCTTCCTAGATAGTGCACTCTGGCCTGGGTACTGGGCCTTTTACCTCATAGTAACATCCTAACCTAATCAAGAAGCAGAAATAGTACAACAGTAGCATATGGAAAATAGTAAAATGCAATACACACATATGCTCAGGTAATCATGTAAGAATGAATAAAATGAAAGCATAAAAAATAAACACCCAAAGAAAATAAGACAAGATCTAGGAGTGACTCCGGGATGGACCAACATTTGGTCGAGGTATCCCCAGTGAAATTGCCAGCTGAAATAACCGACTGAAAATCATCAAACAATGAAGTCGCCATCGAACATATTTTATCCGACATGAGGGAAAGGTAAACATCGAGAAAATCTAAGAAGGGAGAAGTCATGGTCTTGCAACCGAGAGATCGGGTAAGGGAGTATGTTACAGGAGGGGAAGGTATTAGCACACCACACGCCCGTAGTACTCTAGTGTATCCACTCTTGTTGTTCTAATCATATGGATGTGGTTAGTCTATGCTTACTGTTTATTGCTGAGGAGGAATGCATGCAAAAGAAAAGAGAAAAGAACATAGGGAAAATAAAGTTGTACTCGCTTGGGCCCTACCCCAATGCCTACATATCCTTTTTGAGGAATCATAGTTACCGTAGTTCAGCTAACGTGTTTTTGTTTGTTTTATGATTTTTATGAACGATGTTAGTCCCACCTTCTGCCGCAGCTCGACCTTTGGAGACTCACGCGTTGGAACAAAAATAAATCAATCATGTCCTTGCTTGAAAATAGTTTCGAGTTACGCCCTCGAGGCAAGATGCCACATTTGTTTGGTTTGTATTTTGTTACCTTGAAAAAGGGTTTAAGTGCGATTAGCATGTTTTATGATTTGCTAAAGAAAAGGTTTTAGTTTTAAATGCATATGCAAAAGGGGAAGAAAAGAGTCTACAGGGGACTAGCCTATTTACAACCTAATGTTATCATACAATGGTAGTCCTAAGGTTTGGAATAACAAAAGAGAAACATCTACCTAATGTTAGCATTCATTGCATGCAATCTAAGGTATAACTTGCATCCGAAAGGAACAAGCACATCCTAAGGGAACATGGTATGTACAAGGATAAAACAAGCAAGCTTGAAAGAGCGAACACACAAAATAGTAAAGAAAATAAGCTAAATGCTTAAGCCAAGGGGAGCGTATCACCCGAGACAAACAAGCGAGAGTAGGATGAAAAAACAAAAATGTGATGTCCAAAGTGACTTAATACCTAACTAAGACATAGGAGATCGAGGTAGGCGACAAAAGGCAATATGAACAATCACTAAGTATCAACATCGGCCAATGAAAACTCCTGACAAAGCGCGGGGGTTCAATTGCAGAACCCTTCCCCACTTGAGGACTATATACACAAGAGCAAGCATAACTCCGAAGCATCATGGTGCGTCACGAGCTAAGGATGACACACACGAAATTACGGGGGTTGATTGAGAACCCTCCCTGCTCGCTTCCTTTTGAGGACTTATCATCTGTACATATGCGGGCACAAATATAAACATGTGTGTGGAATACCTACTTCAAAGGTAGGGTTTGAAACAAACACAGATAGCAGACAAAATGCACACAATGCGGAATTATCCTAAACGAGTCTTTAAATAAATCAGAGGGGTTCCTGACATGATTAGCAACAGAGACTTCCTTCTTACATCTCTATTCCTACTTCTCATGGCATCAGAAAGAAGTAAAACCTTACTTCTCATGATCTCTAGAAAAGCAGTAAAGAAATGCTGCAAAGTGCGGGGAAATACGAAAGGTAGTAATGACAACTACCACAAGCAAGCAAATCATCGAAAGTAGACGAAAGCAATGGGGAAGCAGCAAGTACACGTCGAGCAAGCTTCACCAAGAAACAAAAAAAGTCAGAAATGATATCCAACTAAGATAAAAGCAAACACGTATTGTGAATGCAACGTGCAGACAAAAGTTCCTGCATAAAGCGTCATATAATATCACATGCATCATGACAACATATAATATGATATAATAAGACATGTCGCATCAGAAGCAAGCATAAGCCGTATGCTTCGATCACATAACTACCTGTTATGTTATATGATCGAAAGCAAAAAGAGTGTACCTTGCACAATGAACAAACACGTCAAAAAATAACAAGGCGAAGCGGTATGAAGATATGGATAAAACTAAAAGAACGAAACAAGTATTTTTCATTAGTTTTTAAGTAAGGAAAATTCTAAAAGACTAAAGAATGAATTCCTAGAAAAATTCTATTATACTCTATTATTTTTATTTTTTTATTATATTTTTGCTATATAAAAAACACGAAATAAGAAATTAAAACTAGAAAAGATATAAAAAAGAAAAATAGGGTAGTCAGGGGGTGCTAAACTAGATCAAGGGCATAAACCAGCAAGCAGGGCGTTAGGCCCATGACCAAATGTCCAGGAGCTTATTTTTTTGTTTGGTTTCAAACTTTTAAGAAAAATGGTGTAATGGGCTAGGAAAGGTGGTTATGTGCAGTAAGGCCCAAGGAATGGTTCAGCAGTCCAACAACATTCATCACCATTATTCACGTTTCAACATTATCCCATTTTTATTAAACTGAAAAAATGAAATGAAATTGAAAATTGATGCTGTGAAACAGTGTAGTTTTGTTAGGGTTAAACGTTGGTGACGTTTCATCTTCACATAGCAACCAGAGCTTCTCTCTTCTTCATTCTCAACTCGCGGCGCATACGAAAGCTCAACCTTCTCTGATCGTTCAATTTATCCTCCCCGTATCATGATCATCTTTACCAACATCTGGTCGTCGTACCCTCTTCTCCCTCAAACGGACGCGGCGAATTCTCCTCTTTCGTTTCCTCCCTTAACCGCTAACCTTAATACTCAATGCTAATTTCCACCCTCAAATGCGATGGCTCAATATCTCCATTATTATCTTCAATTTGTCTGTATTAATTATACTTATCCCTCCTAAATCTCATCAACTAATAGAAAAATACTAAGGGCTTTAAGATCCAATTGAATGGCGGTGAATGCGGTTAGAGAAAATTTAAGGGTGGCTTTACACTTACACTATCTATTCTTTGCATATGTATCAATAGCTAAGCGAGAAGATGAAGGAGAGAGGGGGTTTGCAACGACTTACCTATCAGAGACACTCTGATGGTGATTCAATAGTGAAGAAGGTAAGAAGACCAGAGACGAAGCTTGCGAAGCCCAGGTAACCATTGTTTTCTTCCCTTCTCTCCTTCTATGCTTCGTTTATCTCCTTCTTTTCCTTTCTTCTGTGATTTCCCAGTCTTTGATTTATGCGGTTTCAGTTACGTTTTTATTGCACAGAAAGATTAAAGGTATGGAAGATGACGATGCTTGTATAATTATGCAACGTTGAAGATTGAAGAAGAAGATTAAGATGGAGGAATGGATAGTGATAATGGTTGATTCAGGTAATTCTGTTTTATTTTGTTATTGATCTCTTGCTAGCAATTTTTCTGATCTTTCTAGGTTGAATAATTATGAATGGATAATGATTGCGTATTCTTGTGAATCTACAGGGATGAGGATATCAAGTTTTGTTAGAAGGTTAATGATAAAAAATGAAGGTTGAACTAAGATGCTGACAGGTAGAGAGAATGAAGAGGAGTGCAGAGATCTTTTTCTTGGTGAGTTTTTCTCTGATTCCCGATCTGTTATATCAGAAAGACTGTTCTAGGTTCTGTTAGGAAGTTGGTTGTGAATGATTAGCTGGAAGTTTGTTGAGTTTGTTTGAAACAGTTAGGGTTAGTTTTCGGTTAGGAGTTTTCGTTTTCTAAGTTATTTTACTGCTGGAAATTTGTTGGAATCTGTTAGGAAATTCTGTTAGGCTGTTTCCGTTGATGTTCTGTTAACAGTACAGGTTTGGGTTCTGTTAAGAAGTTCAGTTAGAGGGTTGTTAGAGGTTGTTAGAAACAGTTGGGGTTAGTAATTCTGTTTTGGTTAATTTTGTTGGAAGCTGGATGTAAACTGTTAGAGAGGAGGTTATGTGTTAGTTTAGGAATGCAGGGTAGTTTAGGATATTAGCTAGAGTTGACAGTTAGTTGGAAACTAAGCTAAAAGTTAGTTAGTTATTAATCAGTTAAAAGTTGGTTGGGAAAAGATTGAAAAAATTGTTAGAAAATTTTGGGTTGAGCTGACAATTCTTTTTTCTCCTCTCCTCATAATTCTGATTTTCACAATTTAATTTTCTTTTCCATATTTTTCTTATGAATCAAATTTTGTTTTGTTTATTTAGTTATTGCAGGGAACTGGTATCATGAGAAGCGTTGGGTTATCAACGACCAAGTGTGGACGAGTTTTCTAATGGTGCTTCCGGGAACTTTCTTTTCACGTAAAGGGCATAGCTCCCTTGTAAACCATGATTTTATGGATTTGTATATTCGATGCAGGTTTTTGCAAAGTATGTTGGCTTGGACAGTTTTGGGTGTTAGGTCATCCATAGGTAATGAGGAACCTGAAGTTGGTGAGCCACTCAGGAAGTCTTGAAACCGTGAAGACCTTTGGTGCATGAACATGGTTACAACATGAAAGGCATGAAGTGGATTTGGAGCAAAAATCAAAACAAAATGAAGGTTTAGACTTGATCATGAAGTTCACATTTTTGACAGATTATTCCATGTAACTTGTATCATTGTAAAGACCCTTTTTTTGCAATTTGTGATTTGGTACATGATTTTATAATGGAAATGCTTAGTAATATTGTAGTGTAACATGGTGTATGTCAATTTTTTGTAATATGACTTTAAACATTCAATGATAGTTTCTTCAATGTAACTTTTATCTTCCAAATTGATTTTGAAGTCCCAAGCTCTTTTCCTCTAATATTTACTTTAAAGGCCTTTGTATGAATTCAAATGGCCATGGTATGAATCCAGAACATTGGCAAGGTAATCAAAAGCGACTCAAATCTCGAACGAATTCTTGAATGAATATTTGGATGATACTTTGATTAGGATGAAAAGAGATTATTGGATACACGCTTTGTAATTTGAACTCCAAGAAATCCTTCACAAATGTTTAATAACTTTGATTCACTTCAAATATTAATGGGCAAATTCCAAATCACCTTGAACCCCTAACTTCGACTTCTCAAAATCCAAGAAATTGAAATAGTAAGCATTTTAATAAATCCATCCAGTCGCCTTTGTACCATAACTTAATTCAATCCATACAATACTTTGACTTGACAAAAGCAGTGCCTTAAACCAAATGATCTTCAGTTAATGAGATGTTAACCCTAATCCGCTTGTTTCTGGAAGTAATTTTAAAAGAGGGCTTAGTCTTTTCACGAAAACATTGTATCTTAATGAAAGAAGAAGTCTTCAATGATCACAAACCATAATTCCACAAACCAAGGTTGATGAAAGAACTATTTGAAACAAGCTCGTGTGAAGATAAGAGCCTTACAACAGACGAAAACCTTAGCTTCAAGATCCTTGATCCCTGCCAAGTTACTGATCAGTGATGCATGATGTGTTAGATGATCTAATCGAAGTTACATACATGCTAGAAGTGCGAGATATCTAAGAAAAAAAAAGTGAAAGGGTAAGATAAATTTGGGGTATTACAGGTGGTGATAATGAAAGGTTTCTATTGTGGTTTCAATTTTCATTTTAATTTCAACTAAGAATTCACAGTCACCCCATTGCAATTGCCACGTAGAAAATTATCATACACAGTCAGCAAACTAAGTAAAAGGGTGTGGTGAAAATGATTTATTTGATTTATAAAAGGCGGATCATAAAAAAATTACTTCAGGAAGACAAAACCAAATCTCACCCATATATATATATATATATATATATATATATATATATATATATATATATATATATATATATATATATATATATATATATATATATATATATATATATATATATATTATATATATATATATATATATATATATATATATATATATATCCTTCTTCCTTTCCTAGTATTTGTTCACATCATAACCTTCCTAGAATTGATATATATATATATATATATATAATATATATATATATAATATATATATATATATATATATATATCCTTCTTCCTTTCCTAGTATTTGTTCACATCATAACCTTCCTAGAATTGATATATATATATATATATATATATATATATATATATATATATATATATATATATATATATATATATATATATATATATATATATATATATATATAATATATATATATATATATATATTATATATATATATATATATATATATATATATATATATATATATATATATATATATATATATATATATATATATATATATATATATATATATATATATATATATATATATATATATATATATATATATATATATATATATATATATATATATATATATATATATATATATATATATATATATCCTTCTTCCTTTCCTAGTATTTGTTCACATCATAACCTTCCTAGAATTGAAAAGCAAATAATTCTTACTCACCTACTAAAGATATTGTGCATCTCCGGGAAGTATCTAATATTGAAGTATTTCCATGCTGAATAATGTGGTTATCTAATATTAAGCAAATAATTCTCACTCACCTACTAAAGATACTGTGCATTTCTGGAAAGTATCTAATAATGAGGTATTTCCATGTTGAATAATGCGGTCATCTAATATTAAACAAATAATTCTTACTCACCTACTAAAGATACCGTGCATTTTCTGGAAGTATCTTCTAGTATCTAATATTGAGGTATTATATAAAAGTAATAATTGGAAATGAATTTTCGGTTTATACCGGAGTCTATTTTCTGAAAATTTTTATCGTAAAATAGAGTAAATCTTAAAAAACAAATGAATTGTATGTGTGTTGGCGCGCACCCGAAATATATTTATGGTTTTCAAAGGTATTTTTGGAACTTCATGTAATGTGCTAGAAAAATATGGAGTGGAATAAGAAATTCCCATTAATTACATAATAGTTTAGGACATGAATTATTTGTATGTTGTAGTTTGGTTGGGAGGGCCTGGGCTCAAAAGACTCACTCAATCTAATCTGTGGTTGAATCATATAGGTCTATTTTTACTCATTTTTAATCGATTTAGACGGATTGGATTATAACAAATTGCAGATTAATTCGAACGATTTAATGGACTATTTTTTGTTGAGCCACAACACATTTTTAGCTACAAATTAATACAACTTAAACCCAACATAAATCTAAATTACAAATCCAAATTACCAAGAATTTAAATTCAACATAAAGCCAATGACCTATCATTCAATGTTCTATTAATGGCCACAAAAAATCCAAAATTAATCTAAATTACTACAACATAAATCTAAATTACAACAAATTACTACAATTTAAATATTAATAGTAGGATATTGGATGATATATCCAAAACCTAGTTAGTTCTAGAATCTGGAGATCACTACATGCTTTATCATGCAATGCCAAGTTAATGATTCATCTTTCATCATAACCATTAGCCTTATCATTAAAAAGTAGAAGTTCCTCTAATTCTTTACTATATTAATCTACCAAAAGAGCAAGTCATTCGTAAAAAGTATACTAGATTGTGTGGTTGGCTAATTAGAACTAATACAATTCTCTGAGAATTCAAACTGCATAATCACTTGGAATCTATGATCCAGGTTAGTTTGCAAATATAAGGATCCTCCTCCTCCCAACACACACGAGGTGCAAAAGCACTCTGTCACTTAATATATTAGAAGTTGGCATATGTGAGAATTTAATTAGATGGAATATATATGAGTTCATTTTTCCATTGAGTAGCGCAAAATATAAGTCACATATGACTCTAAAAATTTAAAATACAGTTGCGCTGAAAAAGTAAACAAAAAAAAGTTTATATTTTTAAAAAATAAGTGTAATAAGTAAATCAAATTAATAAAGTAAATATATCTCCATATTTTTCAAGCCAACCAGAAGGTTGTGATTGAGACTGTGAAGATCTTCCTCTTACTGCAGAAGAAATTTCTTAGAACTCTGAAATAATAAAATAAAAATAACTTATTCAAAAGATATAACATTACATCATATTTGTTTAAAATAAAATAATAATTTTACCTGTGATAATATCTTTAGATAGCTCAAAATCTTCCATGAGGTTCATATCTTTGAATAAGTTACTAGAGTAAAAACCCTCAAACTCATTTTCTTGATCAATCGAATCTTGTTCCTTTAAACATTGCTCAAAAGCATCATTCTAGCCATTATTGAAGGACGAACAACAGTTGTTTCATCATTTGAAACATTATTTTCACCATTATCAAGAGGTTGCCTATTATGCTTTTGTTCATAAACTTGCTTATACCATTCATACAATTTTTGTAAGCTCTCTTTTATATAACTGATTAATCCGATAGAAAACTCAGATCCAACTCTATACATTTCCTTAAAAGTCCACTCAAGATATTTTAACTTGTATCTTAGATAAAAAATAATTCTGAAATAAATCAACTTGTTCATCTTAGTAGCACGCCCTCAATATCTATTTTACTTTTCCATCATATCCTCACCCACATTTGCAAAAACACCATACAAGTTCATAGTAGCTTGCTTCAGCTCACAATAGATCGCAGACACTTGGCAAAAAGTATTATGCAAACTCACACTTTGAGAGGTGGAAAAAACATTAGTTACTTTATAGAATAACTTTATAAAAGAGATAAAGGCTCTAACAATGTCTCAATCATCACTACTAAGAGGACTACCTTTTTCAAAAAAATCCATATAGCTTGACTCTTCATCCTCAAGCTTATCAAAAACAGTTTGAAACTTCTCTGCAACCTCAAACATTAAATATGTCACGTTCCAACAAGTTGAAACATCGAGACATACTAGTTTTTTTTACAAGTCATTCCAGAAAATTCAATGCATTCTTTAAAATATCATGGTATTCATTGAAGCAAGTAATGTCATTGAAACATCGTGGTATGCTACTTATATGTCTTTGTAGATTTATTGATTTTCCTTTCTTTTAGCTTATGCAATTTCAGTCTATCCAATAAGACAAAATTTCCTTACCCTAAAATTTTATAACTACCCTTTCACATTTCTTTCTTAACCTACTACATTTGGCATATATTTTTAAATTCTTAGAACTCATTAAGACCTGGTTAGTCATAATTTAATCTTATCGAATCAATTTGTAAAATGAGGATTGTTCTTATTTATTAACATGTTTTTTATTTAAAATTATTTGATTTGAAATCTTAATATATATTCAAATGCACAATACTATTGAGTTTGGTATGCGAATATAATTTATATGTGGTTGGATAGTGAAAATTAAATATCAAGTGGTCCAACGAATCTTGAACTAGATTCTGATACAATTTAAAATTGTAGTTGGTCATAACTCAAACCTACAAAGACAAATTATAAGATGAGAATTGCCTCATTTATTAACATATTTCTATGCCTAATATTATGAAATGCATGATTAAAAATATACATATAAGAAGTAAACTTGAGAATTTTATGAAAGGGAAAAA